CTGAAATTTGAAATACAGAGGCAAATTCGCACATCACTGAGCAAAGTCGCAAAATTGTTTTCAGTGTCTGATGACGAATTTCCCCCACGAATCATTATCACTCAATTCTGCAAGTGGTTCTGATTTACTATCGCTGTTCTCTAGCCGGTCTAAAACCGCTTTTGACGTAAAGGGACGCTTTTTGGACGCCATGGACGTTTATCAGTTTCCAAGCAGAAAGAACAGCAAAAATGAAATTTTTTTAAAAATTCAAATTTCCCGCCGGTTCCGGCGCCCGTACGTCCCGACGTCACAGGGACCGGAACACAGAAGCCGGATGCCGGCATCGGCCGGAGGAGATGGCCGGGGACGCTGGAGGGGACACATCGTGGGAGCGAAGGAGAAGGTAAGTGCTGCAGGGACCCCCAGAACAGCGCCGCATGGTAAGCCCGAGTGTAGCTCAGGGTTACTGCTTTTGGTACAGAAATTTTACCCCGAGCTACACTCGGGAACACCGCTAAGGAGGTTAAAATCCTTTTTCGTTGCATGTGATAGACTGTCATAGAATTTTATTTATAATTTATAACTTAGCATGTGCAAATGATTTAATTATGTTCTGCTGGTGAAAGATTCACTAATACCTTGTTTTGTGGAAAATGGTAAATTGAATAACGTCAGAATTTTTCATGTTGCTGTGTGTAACCTTGTTAATCAAGTAGTGGCGAGTCTAGTATATCTAAAACCTACATCAGTGGAACAATAAAAAAAAAACAAAGGAGCACTGTCTACCACCTTTTATATTTTTGAGAACATCATGTCACTTTTAGAGCTACAGGCACATTTTTTTAGGGAGATGTAGATATTACCTGGAGTGGTTTCCCCTCTCGCCTGCAAACTCAAAGCAGCATTCGTTATATAAACACTTAAACTTTTAGCAGGTTCGGGTTCCCTCTGTTGCTGACTGGCCATTTCTTCCTGATGCTTTCAACCTAAAGCAATGGCAGAGCAGGGGCGGACTGACAACTCCTGGGGCCCCGGGCAATAGGGGATCATGGGGCCCCTGTGTCCTTGGCCAAACTCAAAAAAGCCTATGAAAAAGGTACCAGGGGCATCTCATGGAGCCCCCTACTGACCCCGGGCCCTCGGGCAGTGCTTGAGTTTCCAAATGGTCAATCCGCCCCTGTGGCAGAGGCACTGATGTCCAACTCTATCTTAGCAGTAAGTTGGGGACTTTGCCGCACAGAGATTCCACCCTAAGCTGTGGCTGTTAGCAGAAGGGACCAGGAAGCATTAGATGGCTGTTAATGGAGAAAGTCTAAACCCGCTGAAGGCAAAGTAATTCAAATTTGTTTGTTTTAGCTGGTGGGAAGCATCCTGTCCTAGAGCAGACACCACAACATTGACACCACTGTCATCATTTTTAGCCAGAAAACACTTATCTCAGTCCTCATTTGGTTACCAAGGTAAGGGCCCTTCTGCATCTCCCAGGCTAAGCCCCATCAATTATGCTTCTTTCCAATGATGGTGTGTCCGCAGTCAGTAAGGGCATCAGAGGAGTAGCTAGGATATTTTGCGCCCGTGGACTAACGGTCACCTCATGACCCTCCCCTCCCCCCACTTCATATGGTCCATGTAGACACACAAACCCCCCCCCCCCATCCCAATCACATTGCCCCCACCCCCCTCCTTTATCCATGGCACTACTCACCCAGCTCGTCCCTCCCCACGTCCCCCCTCCGGCACATGCCCGGCCCACTGCCCCTCCTCTCCCGGCCAGCTCCTCTCTCCTCTCATAATTCACTGTGGATGGCAGACGTATCAGATGACACGTCTGCTGCAACCGCTGCAGTGATCTTGTGACCTCATTTTGGCGCCCCTGTACCTTGGCACCCGGGTACATATGTAGCCCCCTGCCCCCCCCCCCCCCCCCCCCCCCCCCCCCAGCTACGCCTCTGAAGGGCATTCTCATTGAAGAGGGGAATTGCGGTCAGGGCATAGCCATGAAATCAAGAAGTTGTACCTCTAGTGAAAAGAAAATGAAGCTAGTTTTAGACAGGAACATGGAGTAGGATTTTCTAGCTAACAAAGGGAAATGCAGACATCTTGTGTCTGCTCTGGAGCAAAACATTCCTTTTTACACTGACTGACAGGATCGCTTTAAACTACTCCACCCTAAACAGTTCAGTACTGGGTGGAGGGTAATTCGTCATGTTCATGTATAAAGATGTGTAATCTCTGGAGTTGGGACATTACTTCCATCGTCTCCTGCTGCTTGTTCAGTGAATGTCAGATCTGAAGCTTGATTTCAGAGAGAATCCACTTGATATACTGACTGTCAAAACAACTGGAGCCATGGAATGAGGTTGCTGGGATCTTCACAGGGGCAGGAGCGGAGTGAGGAATGCTGGGAGCATCACAGTGGCAGGAGCGGAATGAGGGCTGCTGGAATTGTCGCAGTGGCAGCAGTAGAGTGAGGGGTGCTGAAATCGTCACAGCGGCAGCAGTGGAGTGAGGGGTGCTGAAATCGTCACAGCGGCAGCAGTGGAGTGAGGGATGCTGGAATCGTCACAGCGGCAGCAGTAGAGTGAGGGGTGCTGGAATCGTCACAGCGGCAGCAGTGGAGTGAGGGATGTGAATCGTCACAGCTGGCAGAATGTCACAGCGGCAGCAGTGGAGTGCTCCCAGCATTCCTCACACCACTTCTGCCCTTGTGATGATCCCAGCACACCTCATTCCATGGCTCCAGTTGTTTTGACGGTCAGTATATCAAGTGGATTCTCTCTGAAGTCAAGCTTCAGATCTGACATTCACTGAACAAGCAGCAGGTGAATCATCACAGTGGCAGCAGTGGGGAGAGGAGTGCTGGAATCGTCACAGCGGCAGCAATGGAGTGAGGGGTGTTGAAAACATCACATTGGCAGCAGAGGAGTGATGGTGATTTGAACATTGCAGTGGAGTAAGTGGTGATGAAAATGTCACAGTAGCAGTGCTGGGAAAGTCACAGTGGCAACAGTGGAGTGAGAGGTGATGAGAACGTCCTAGGGACAGCAGTAGAGTGAGGGATGCTGGGAATGTCACAGCGGCAGCAGTGGAGTGAGAGGTGATGAGAACCTTACAGCATCAGTAGTGGTGTGAAGAATGATGAACATGTCACAGCAGCAGTAGTGTGAAGGGTACTGGGAACATCAGAGGGAGTAGTGGATTGAAGGGTAACGAGTGTCACAGTGGTGGCGGGGGAGTGAGGGGTGATGAGACCGTCGCAGCAGCAGTGGAGTGAGGGATGCTGGAAATGTCAGAGGCCCCAGTGGATTGAGAGGTGATAACGTCGCAGCAGTAGTGTGAAGGGAGCTGGGCATGTAGCAGCGGTTGAGTGAGAGGTGATGACAATGTCACAGCGGCAGCAGTGGAGTGAGGGATGCTGGGAATGTCACAGCGCAGCAGTAGAGTGAGGGATGCTGGGAATGTCACAGCGGCAGCAGTGGAGGGAGAGGCACTGTAAACGTCACAGCATCAGCAGTGAAATGTAAACATGACAGCAGCAGTAGTGGAGCGAGGGATGAGACCTGAGGACTTGGTAGCAGTAGTGTGAAGGGAGCTGGGCATGTAGCAGCGGTGGAGTAAGTGGTGATGAGAATGTCACAGCAGCAGCAGAGGAGGGAGAGGCCCTGTGTACGTCACAGCAGCAGCAGTGGAGCGAGGGGGGGATGAGGATGAGATGATAACATCACAGCAGCAGTATGGAGTGTGGAGGAATGAGACATGATGAGAACTTTGCAGCAGTAGTGTGAAGGGAGCTGGGCATGTAGCAGCGGTTGAGTGAGAGGTGATGAGAATGTCACAGCGGCAGCAGTAGAGTGAGGGATGCTGGGAATGTCACAGCGGCAGCAGTAGAGTGAGGGATGCTGGGAATGTCACAGCGGCAGCAGTAGAGTGAGGGATGCTGGGAATGTCACAGCGGCAGCAGTAGAGTGAGGGATGCTGGGAATGTCACAGCGGCAGCAGTGGAGGGAGAGGCACTGTAAACGTCACAGCATCAGCAGTGAAATGTAAACATGACGGCAGCAGTAGTGGAGCGAGGGATGAGACCTGAGGACTTGGTAGCAGTAGTGTGAAGGGAGCTGGGCATGTAGCAGCGGTGGAGTGAGTGGTGATGAGAATGTCACAGCGGCAGCAGAGCAGGGAGAGGCACTGTGTACATCACAGCAGCAATAGTGGAGCGAGGGATGAGAGATGATGAGAACTTTGCAGCAGTAGTGTGAAGGGAGCTGGGCATGTAGCAGCGGTTGAGTGAGAGGTGATGACAATGTCACAGCGGCAGCAGTGGAGTGAGGGATGCTGGGAATGTCACAGCGGCAGCAGTGGAGTGAGGGATGCTGGGAATGTCACAGCGGCAGCAGTGGAGTGAGGGATGCTGGGAATTTCACAGCGGCAGCAGTGGAGTGAGGGATGCTGGGAATGTCACAGCGGCAGCAGTGGAGTGAGGGATGCTGGGAATTTCACAGCGGCAGCAGTGGAGTGAGGGATGCTGGGAATGTCACAGCGGCAGCAGTGGAGTGAGGGATGCTGGGGAATTTCACAGCGGCAGCAGAGTGAGGGATGGAGGGGCACCAGTGGAGGGCACTGTAAACGTCACAGCATCAGCAGTGAAATGTAAACATGACAGCAGCAGTAGTGGAGCGAGGGATGAGACATGAGGACTTGGTAGCAGTAGTGTGAAGGGATCCGAGAACGTCACAGCAGCAGACACTGGAATATGGAAACTGGTATACATTTTTGCATCAGCCATACTAATCATCTGCTGCCCAAGACAAGATTTGATTTGATTGGCAGTCTTACAGTTTTTGTCTTTCAGTTCTAGTAGCTGCAGAGTAATGCGAGTTGTGGAGTCGTATGCACAGCTTACATTACTGGAATGGTCGGGGAACTTGGGAGGTTGTTAAGTGCTTATTAATCTTGGATAGACTGCAGTTGTTCCATCTCTTTATTTCTTCCTTCCTCCTTTTCTCTGTCTCACTGTCTAGCTGTACAGCTCTCGCCTTTCCTATCAGCCGACTGTCCTTGGAGCTGGATCCTCTGAGCCGTGCTACCCAGTGGCCTTAGCTGCTGGAGTGAGCGCTACCCTTCCACACCAGGTAGTCCTTTGCGGAGGAGAGGGGCACACCGCGTGCATGGGGCGAGTGAATGAGCATCTCCACGCCTGCCTACATATTAGCAAGGATGTAAAGGGATGTTTTTCTTTCCAAGCAATGTTTAGTAACCATTTTTATGGCACTGGTGGAATGCAAAGGTTATATTAGAAAGCTTCAATCCTTCTTAAATTGCAAATCCTTCTTATTGGCTTTTATACCATTTTTTTTTTTTTCCCTTTCAAGATGCTTTATCACTCGTCATTACACAGACCTTAATGGAAACCTATATTGAGGGAATAGGCTGGCTGTCATCATAGAGCTGGTATTCTGAAAATCCTATCTCTCTGGCTGTCATGCTGATCCAGTGGCTTCAGTATGCAGATTAGCAGTTATGACTTCATTTTTTTTAACTTTTTTCTGTTTGTGTGCTTGTTCCTGGTCAGTGTATTGGTAAGTACTGGATTTTGGCCCAAACAGTCATGCAACTAGTATTTTCAGAAGGAAGTCATCAATGGCAGCCCCCCTATTGCTCTCACTACAGGTTTCCTTTTGAAGAAATTGCTATTCGTTGATAACCATGTAAACAGAGATATCCTTCCTGCATCACTGAATGCCAAGAGATGAGACCTAATGCAAACAGACAAAAATGAACAATGCTGCACATATTAATAATTTTCTTTCTTCTTTTTTTTTAATAAAAAAAACATACATAAAAGACACATTTTGTGCATGTACCTTGTATGTATATGCACTGTACAAACTTTCCAGATCTATGTATGATTACAAGAGGAAGTCATATTTTTAAATGATGTAAATTAATACCTCTGGGCAATTAAGTGGAAGTATGGAAAGCCAGAGCAGTTGAAAAGGGAGCAGATCACATTAGGCCCATTTTCTGTTTCAATATTTTTATTAGGAAATTTTATTAGTTTTGTTTTTAACAATATAACAAATTCAATATACGCCCTCACAGGGGCAGAGCAGAACAATAACACATAAACAGAGACATCGTGCTGACTTGTATTAGTCAAATAACAAAATGTCCAATGACATCAAGAAGGGCCAGCAAAAAACCGAACCAAATAGCAGCAGTAATCCAACATAATATCGGGAAAAAAGAGAAGAAAAAAGGTTAGAAGAAAATAAAACAAAAAGGAATCAGAAAGAAAACATAAAAGAAGGGAAACTAGCAGGATCACGGATCTAGGGCTATCACAGGCAGCGACTATAGGAGGCCATAACTAGTAGGAGGCAGGGATGGCAAGGAATAATGTATCCAAGGTTCCCAACCCTTAAGGAATCTCGGATGAGAATCATGAAGAATGCTAGACATCATTAGGCCCGTTTTCAAACTGCTGAAGAAAAAAAAAACAGTGGAGGAGATTTACTATAAGTAGAGTGTGCAAAATATGGTGCAACTCTGCATCAAAACCAATCGGCTTCCAGGTTGTATTGCCAAAGGTTAATTGAACAAGCTGAGGTTAGAAGCTGATTGGCTCCCAGGCACCGCTCAACCAGATTCTAGGAGCATAGGTTTTAGTAAATCTAACCCAGTGCGTTTTACCCACAGCAACCAGATTCTCTGTTTCATTTTCTTATAGTGGAATCTGATTGGTGGCTGTAAGCAGTACAGGAAATCTAGTGCCAAAACATTGTATGGACCTCCTTCAACTAATTCTAGCAATAATTCTTTAATTTAGCAATAAAAATATTATAAAGCATGCCGTTTGGTCGCACTCCGCTACATAAAGAGCTGAGAACAACAGTTATTGCCAAAATTACATTTAAGTTCAACTCCGCTAAATACATTCCAGGTACATGAAAACAAAAGATGTAAAAAGTCTTAAGGTGGCCATACACATAGCAATTTGTGATCGATTTTGAATGCAAGCAATCTATAATCCACTTGAATATCAAGTCTTAAGGTGGCCATACACATAGCAATTGCTTGCATCCAAATCAATCACAAATCGCTATGTGTATGGCCACCTTAAGACTCAATTATTCAAACGGATTATAGATTTGTGATCAATTTGGATGCAAGCAATCTAGAATCCATTTGAATATTGAGTCTTAAGGTGGTGTAAGCTGAGCTCACGTTCCTTCTTTTTAAGAATGTTCCAAACAGTTGTTTTGGCCACACCCTAATGTTTTTGCTATCTCTCTGATGGGTTTGTTTTGTTTTTTCAGCCTAATGATGGCTTGCTTCACTGATAGTGACAGCTCTTTGGATCTCATCTTGAGAGTTGACAGCAACAGATTCCAAATGCAAATAGCACACTTGAAATGAACTCGGGACCTTTTATCTGCTCATTGTAATTGGGATAATGAGGGAATAACACACACCTGGCCATGGAACAGCTGAGAAGCCAATTGTCCCATTACTTTTGGTCCCTTAACAAGTGGGAGGCACATATGCAAACTGTTGTAATTCCTACACCGTTCACTTGATTTGGATGTAAATACCCTCAAATTAAAGCTGACAGTCTGCAGTTAAAGTACATCTTGTTCATTTCATTTCAAATCCATTGTGGTGGTGTATAGAGCCAAAAATGTTAGAATTGTGTCGATGTCCCAATATTTATGGACCTGACTGTAATTAAAGAAGGATTCTAACTCTGGGTTCTCTCTGTAGATGATGGTACCAGGAAAAAGAGGGCGGATTGCCCAACATCACTGCCCAGCCTGCACATGGCACTCAAGCTGAACATGATCGGGTTCTTCTGACCTCACCATCTAATGTAAGAGGCCCCACGTCCAGCAGGTAAGTGATCATTCACCAGGGTTGTGTAAGTGGTAAATTCGTCATTTTCTTATTGCTGGTGTTTTTTTTTTTTCTGGTCTTCCACAGTGAGGAAGCTGACACCCCATCAGGAAGCAACACTGCTGGCCAAAGCGGCTCGCCAAACAAAACCCCTCACATCCTCTTCACCCGCAAAGTAGGGGCCTTTGTGGACAAGCCCTCCCCGCAGGTAAATCGAGTCATCTGTTTGGTGTCAACTTTTAGATGAACCTCAAACTAAGCTTCGATCGATCTCTTACAGTGGAACTCCAGGTTGACTATTGCATACACAGTTGAAATACCTTTAGGCCAGGGGAGTCCCTAGGCAGGTGCTGGGGGTGTGCGCCACACAGGAGGACATCTTTTTATCAGGGGGTGACACTGGACCCACTCCACCAGGGGTGGACTGACCATTTGGGCACTTGGGCACTGCCCGGGGTCACTACAGGGCCCCACGAGAGGCTCAGTCTGTCCCTGTATGTGCTGCTGCTGAAATAAGCAAGCATTGAGGGGACAGACAGTGAGGCAGGCACTTCGGACACCTCGGAGTTTCGGCAGAGGGGCGGGTCCACATCCCTGCCACGGGTGCTGAAGTTGGAGAGCTGGAGGGCGGGCAGAGTATGCAGGTCAGTGTGTAATCCCCCCGACCCTGGTGACAGCACTGCACCTTCATGTAGTAGGTAGGGGGAGAGAAGGGGGGGGGGGGGGGGGGGGGGGAGATGGTCGGCTTGCTTTAAAACTGACCTTTTCGTGGAGCTCGTGGAGAGATCAGTTAACCCCGTATAGGTTGCAAGCCGACGATCCCCGCAGGATGGATCGGATCTGCGGATTGGGGAGGATAATGGATCGGAGTCCGGTCCATTATGCTCAATTTGCAGTTCCGATCCATCCTGCGGGGATCATCGAAGAGGGTGTCACCAAGTGTTCCGGCACCGGGTGACATCAACCCTAGGGACGCCCCTGCTTTAGGCAATGGTTTTACCTGCGGAAGGACTTATTTCACTCAGCCTGTAACCTACACAGCTCTGTCATGCTTCATAACCAGAATGTTGTCTGCAGTATCTCCCGGTTCATCTTTACAGCTTCAGGTCTCCTGCCTGAGAATGTGATGTGCAGAGTGGTGATGAGGATTCCTCATATAGTGAGCAGACTGGGAGTTAATGTGGACATGGTCTAAAAAGTGCAACAACAGTGCTGAGGCTGATTTATGCAGAGCCCCCCTTGAATCCTTTATATCACCCCCTTTTACTCCTCCTTCTGCATCCAGGTTATCTGTAGGGTCCCAGCTTCTCATCAAGCTGAGATTAACACCCCCTGCAATCATTTAGTTTTTTAAATACCCACAATCTCTTCTAGTCACTGAAGCTCTGCAATTGAATTGTTGCATGGTAAGGAGGTATAGGAGCTGTCCCCACCCCCTGCTTTTAAAGCTCAGAGCTGCTGTGTAAAGTGTGTGTTTTAGGAGACTGTAGAGGAGAGAAGGTGGCAGATAAACAGGTACAACATATGCAGAACGATTTGTTTCAACTCTGTGTTGCCTGAGGCCAGTCACTTCACTGGGTATAAGTCAGGGTTTGCAACCACTTTTAATGTAAAACTGACAACTCCAAAGCATGCTTGTGAAAAGTGTCACTTCTGCCAGTATTGACGTGGTTAATTCTGGACAGCTTTGTTTCTGTTCACAGGTC